CCAGGTTAAAGCATCTTAATTTGCACTCCCTCGAGAGACGTAGAACGAGGGGCGACTTGATAGAGGTGTATAAATGGAAGCCCTGGCTAAACAAAGGGGACATTTCAAAGGTACTCAAACTATCCAACCAGGAGCGAACTTGTAACAATGGTTTTAAATTAGACAAATTTAGATTTAGGCGTGAAATAGGTAAACACTAGTTTGGAAACAGAGTAGTGGATGGGTAGGACAAGTTACCAAATATCATCATTAACTCGAATATGCTGGATAGCTTCAAACATAGGTTGGATGCTTATATGAGCAATAGGGGTTGGGTGTAAACGGGACTGCCCAGTATGGGCCAATAGGCCCGCTGCAGTTTCCTCCTTTTTTATGTTCTTATGTTCTTAATACCTCTCACGCAAATGTGAATAACAAAGTGTGAGGCCAGACATACTGCCTCACACTCCTGTACTCACGCAGTTGTGAATAAGTTACCCTTTATGTATAGAACTAAACAAATAATTTATTTGAAATACTGTGTAACATTCAGTGCCATAATATCCTGACCACTGGGGTTAGTTATACTGACCCTTTGTGAACTCTGTAATCCTTTTACGCTATCGCTCACAGGATGAGTATGGGGTGCACAATAAACTAGCCGCTGTAAGTGGCGAAATTCAATAATTAAAAATTCCTTTATCTTTTCCTTACCCGAGTTTTTTTTTAAGTGAATGCAATTGCCTTCTTCCCTTCTTTATCATTTCCTATTTCCCTCTTCTCCCCAACACTCATATTTTTCTTCCTTCCCTTCTTCTTTCTGTTCGGCTACTCCTCTTCTCTCTCCCCTCACATTGCTCTCACGGGTAAAATTGTCAGGGTCGGTGAGGCAGAATAAAACCACACACGGTCGGTTGGTCAGCTGCCTGTGTGCCCCGCTTCTCCTGAGGAAGGCGTAGCGTCCCCCAACACCCACCCCGGGAATTAAGTCGATCTGTCACCACCAACAGCTGCCACAAACTACAGTCACTCAACACGTATGGGCTGAAGGAAATTATTCTCTACAATATAATATTGTCTAGCGGTGTGTTACTGTTGGTTAGTGTTGCTCTACTCTTACAAGTTTACGATCACATGGAAATTAGACACCAGGGCCTGTTTCACCGTAAGATTAACCACCTTAACGCTAACCTAACCTAACCTATTTCACCTTAAGATTAACCACCCTAACCTAACCTATTCTTCAAGTTATCCGACAGAACACAGGAGGGTATAGAGACAAGTGGTGGACCTTTCCTGACAAAGTAACTCAGGTATGAAAAGGTCAAAACCTCAGGTCATTAGCCCAACCTTTCCACTAATTAATTGTATTTAATTGATCTCTCTTATCTGGGCCAGGTTAATATTCACTTGATGATCAAACACTTCAACGTTACCTGGGTGATTAGGTTAATAGATTAGGTTGCAGTTAGGTTAGTGTTAAGTTAAGTTAAGTTAGCGTTAAGATGTTTATTCTTAAGGTGAGATAAGCTAGGTTGCTAATATTCACGTGGTTCATTTTACTAAAGGCAACACTAGACAATGTTAACAAGATAAACATCGTCCATCTCCGTCCCTCAGAGAATATTTTATTAAGAACATTATAACTGTACACTTGTTCACTTGTTCTTAAAAACAACATTTACATTCAAGAGTCAAGACCCTGATGATTACTTAAGATAGCTTCACCATAAGGAGGAACTGAGAGGTGATATATGTCATGTTTCTAAAGTTTCACTCCTATAAATGACTTGTTTTATATTATTATGCCTGACTCCTTTAAGACGCTTCATATTACAACTTGTTACATATTGTTTTATCCATATGTGATCAGACATACAGGGTGTCTCATAACATATAAGCCTGAGGACAGTCTGATGAAGGCAGCTTCTATAGTCACTGATGAAGGCAGCTTCCTTATAGTCACTGATGAAGGCAGCTTCTATAGTCACTAATAAATGCAGCTTCTATAGTTACTGATGAAGCCAGCTTCTATAGTCACTGATGAAGGCAGCTTCCTTATAGTCACTAATGAAGGCAGCTTCTATAGTCACTAATAAAGGCAGCTTCCTTATAGTCAGGGATGAAGGCAGCTTCTATAGTCACTGATGAAGGCAGCTTCTACAGTATAGTCACTGATGAAGGCAGCTCAAACTAGTTGCATTTTTTTATAAATTCGTGTAGACTCATAATTATCCCGTAAAAATACCTTGTAGTGTTTTAGCTAAACAGGAAATATGGTTCAACGTTTTGTGTGTGTGTGTGTGTGTGTGTAAATGTATGTGTATTGAAAAATACAACTGGAAATCAAAAACAATATAAAACATGTAGTGACTTTGGGAAGAGGGTCGTTTAACAAAGGTTTCAGTATACAGTACAGTAGCTACAGTACAGAGAAGAGAACAAGGAGTGAACAATAACACAACTACGAACTGTTGTTGAATATTATAATGGTGGTGTTGTTGTAGCTATCAGTACGAGGTCAGAGAGGCTTGATATAGTTGTGTGTGGGAGGGAGGGAGGGGCGCCGTTTTGGATATATTTATATAAAGTTTTTTGGAGGTGTACGTGTGTGTGTGTGATGACGTGTTGGTATATTCTTCATGGTGACGTGTGTGTGTGTGCGCGCGCGCGCGTGTGTGTGTTTGTGTAATAATAATAATATTAATAATAATAATAATAATAATTATTATTATTATTATTATTATTATTATTATTATTATTATTATAATTATTATTATTACTTCTATTATTATTATTATCATTATTATTATTATTAATATTATTATTATTATTATTATTATTATTATTATTATTATTATTATTATCATTATTATTATTATTATTATTATTATTATTATTATTATTATTATTAATATTATTATTATTATTATTATTATTAACGGTTTATTGAAAGAACATGGCAGCCGGAAGGCTGAAAATATACATTACATAATTGGGGAATGGATCACTTGATTGACAAATAATATACAAGTAACATAAGTGATAACAGCGCAAAAAGGTAAGATTGAATGGGAGTGAATACACTGATTGACTACGAGTTGTTGATAGTTTTTACAATGGTTGGGACTGGGCTGTTCTTATAGCGACCAGTTCGTGCTCGTATGGGCTTAATGCGGTTGTGGTGTCGAACAGCAATTAGCGGACGAGGGATCTCTGGTGGAAGCAGGAGCCGGTGTCGAGGATGGTGCAGAAGCTTCTCACCAAATTTGCAGAAAAGGTCGTGGTGATGGTCAGTGAGAGCCGAGAGGGTCAGTGTGTTGAGAGCTTCTTGATATGTGGAGTAGGAAAGGGAGAGAATAATCTTGCATATCCTCTTTTGCACTTTTTCTAGATGTTTACGTTGTGTGGCATTTAGGGAGGAAGACCAGGTGGGGGAGGCATAGGTGAGCTTGGGAAGTATGAATGTTGAGTAAGCACTGAGGTGTGTGTGTGTGTGTGTGTGTGTGTGTGTGTGTGTGTGTGTGTGTTCAGGGTGCCACAAAAACCTGCCAGCTGGGAGATGCCACTATGAGGTCGGGTCGGAAGACGTAACACGATGTCATCAGTAGCATACAGTCCCCTCCCTCCCAGGCCATGACGTCACTAACCTTGCACCCACCGCCCTGTCCTGTGAGATCCTTATCTGTCAGTGACCTTCCCGGCCCCTCCTTCACTTTCCTATCCTCCTCCTTCGTCGTCGTCGTCTAACCTCATGCCCAACCGTGGTAACATTATGAGATGTACTTATTACTACCATGCTATAGTACTATTCCAGATGATACTACATGTTACATAATACTTCCTTGAGATAAGTGTATAGTATATATCAGGTGCCTCAAAGAGAGCTCAGGTTCTCAACTGGCTCAGCCATGTTAATATTGTTATTATTATCCACTCTGTGTCTGTATTTTTCTGGCTAAATAAACTGTTACAATTCAAACAATTCAATTCTACTAATTTGGCTCCTCCCGTCTTCACTGTCTTATCACGTAATGCCAACCTTCCTCACCATCATTTCGTCTCTTACACTACTGTCACATTATCCCGAGCTTATCTTTCATGTGCATATTCCCATCACACACACACACACACACACACACACACACACACACACACACACACACACACACACACACAAAATAATAAACAACTCCTGATTTATGTACTGCACAGCCCTGTAAATGTATTCAATGCATATTATATCATTATGTCTAAATCTATTGTAAATCTGTATATTTTCAGCCACCGGCTGCAACTCTATTAATAAACCGTTTATTATTATTATTATTATTATTATTATTATTATTATTATTATTATTATTATTATTATTATTACACACTCGCACCTCCTTCCTTCCCCCTTCTCCTAAAACCTCGCCCTCCTCTCCCCTCGCTTTCCTCTTCCCGTCAGAATCCTCCCCATCCCCTCTCATCGCCTCCCCCTCCCCCCTCATAGCCTCCCTCTCCTCCTCGCCTTCCTCCCCCCCTCCTTTCCTCCCTCTCCCCCTCATTTCCTCCTCCTTGCCTCCCTTTTCCCTCGCCTCCTCTCCTCTCCCCCCTCTCCCGCCTCCCTCTCCATCCTCGCCTCCCTCTCCCCTGCTCGCCTCCCTCTCCCCTGCTCGCCTCCCCCTCCTTGCCTCCCTCTCCCCGTCCTCGCCGCCTCCCCCCTCTCCTCCTTCGCCAAAAACCTCCCCTCTTCCCTACCACCAGTAAAAACAGTTGCAATAAGAGTGTAACTGGAGGTGTTGTCTCAGGCTCGGGTGTTGCGTCGTGTCGGGTACACTATGGAACGCTGCATACAAAAAAAAGAACATCAGGACATAGTTTGCGTTTAGAATAGTGACGTCATTGGGGATATTCTGTATGACGTCACCGGGAGATGGGGAGGAGTTATGACGTCACCGTGGTACTAGGAGCATGGAGAGAGAGAGAGAGGGAGGGTGGGAGGATGGTGAAGAAGCGTTAGTCTGTTTGTCGGAGTGACGGCAAGACCACGGGTGCTGATGGGGATGGGTGCCACCGATTCGCTCGTTTCTGACTCCAGCATGAGGTGGGTGTAGTTGAGATAATGTAGTGTAGGTGTTGTGATATAGGAGTTACGAGTTCCGTGAGTTGTATAAGAGTACTATGAAAACATGTATGGTGTTGTATTAAGTATAGTGAGGTGTATGGTAGTGCATTGATTCTGCTGTGTATAGTGCATTATGGTGATAGGCCAAGTTAGCATCCCGGCCCGGTCTACATACTGGCACCATAGTTATTAACATTGTCTGTGTGTATTTTGTCAACTGAGAAAATGTTGTGTTGTAGTGTGGGGCACCACTAGTGTCTCTGAGCCATCCTCCTCACAGTTCCTTTATATTGTCGCGGGGTTTTGACAATATTGGTACAAGATCTAACTTCACAACAGTACTTTTCTCCACAGTACAGTATAACCATTACGGATTACCTTATTATAATATTCTCGTAATTGTAGATTATATTATTATAATATATAAGCAGTTATGGATTACCTTGTAAAATTACTTACTACTATTACTGTACTGTTTGTGAATGGACTAGAGGACTGGACTTAGTATGGACAATGAAGTATTCCGAGGGTCTGGGGACCAGTGTGAATGCTAAACATTCTTGATACCTGTGAATTAGTTCAAGTGCTTGTCACGTGTACCTTTCTTCCAGCTCACACTTAAGTGGGAGAGGAGTATACAGTAGATGAGAGACAGTAATTAAGCTCTGAAAGTTGTGAACTGACGTTGTACCCGTGAGTGTGTATCGTCCTGGACACACAACTCGGCATAACCTTTGGAAAAATCAAAGTTCTTTACTCTTGAAGCTGCTAGACTTAACAAGTTCAATTTTCTCATCGTGGTAGCGCAGTAGATCGATCCATCACCCAATTACAATACACCATCCTTCAATTTATGTGATAGTTGGGGCTTGTTAAGTGCGTTAATTGTGCACTACTAATTATAATAAGCGTGAGAGCATAAAACTGACGTCGTCCATTGGTTAATAACAGCCCGCTTGTTGTTGTGGTTTGTGGGGAGACGAGGAGGCGACCAGGACGTGTTGCTGATGCTCACGAAGGGGCTGTCTTCCTCCTCACGCCGCTAATGAAGGATGTTCTTGGCAAATCTTCCCCTCAGTGTAAACACCCCTGGAATTTTATCGTTCAAATCCTAAAAGATTGCCACTGGAGGTCTAAAGTGGGCGAACGTTCGTCTGACGTTCATTTCCATACGTGTCTGATTACGGGGTAAAGAACACTAACGCAGTATTCATTATGAGGTGGACGTGTGTCATAAGCGGCTGATAGTCATAAAATGGAGCAACACAATGTGGAAATATGTTGAGTAGCGTTAAGTACAGAGTGTGGAGGGTGAAGGTTGTGCTCCACTTAGTATGTGTGTGACCCTCCTTGTCTCAGTGCCCTCGATACTGTGACCTTGTCTGCTTGGGTACCCTCGATACTGTGACCTTGTCTGCTTGGGTACCCTCGATACTGTGACCTTGTCTGCTTGGACACCCTCGATACTGTGACCTTGTTTGCTTGGGTACTCTCGATACTGTGACCTTGTCTGCTTGGACACCCTCGATAATGTGACCTTGTCTGCTTGGGTACCCTCGATACTGTGACCTTGTCTGCTTGGGTAGCCTCGATACTGTGACCTTGTTTGCTTGGGTACTCTCGATACTGTGACCTTGTCTGCTTGGACACTCTCCATACTGTGACCTTGTCTGTTTGGACACCCTCCATACTGTGACCTTGTCTGTTTGGACCCTCGATACTGTGACCTTGTCTGCTTGGACACCCTCGATACTGTGACCTCAAATACACCCTCGATAATATGTTGTCTGCTTGGACCCTCGATGCTGTGACCTTGTCTGTAGCCTCGATACTGTGACCTTGTTTGCTTGGGTACTCTCGATACTGTGACCTTGTCTGCTTGGACACTCTCCACCTGTGACCTTGTCTGTTTGGACACCCTCCTGTGACCATGCTGTGACCTTGTCTGTGGGACACCCTCAACACTACTGTTGTCTGTGGACACCCTCCATGCTGTGACCTTGTCTGCTTGGACACCCTTCATACTGTGACCTTGTCTGCTTGGACTTCTTCGATGCTGTGACCTTGTCTGCTTGGACACCCGATCTATGACCGTGTCTGTGGACACCCTGCTGTGACCTTGTCTGCTTGGACACCCTCCACACTGCTGTGACCTTGTCCTGTCTGCTGTCTGGGACACCCTCCATACTGTGACCTTGTCTGCTTGGACACCCTCCATACTGTGACCTTGTCTGTGGACACCCTCCATACTGTGACCGTGATCCCATACTGTGACCGTGTCTGCTCGGACACCCTCCATACTGTGACCTTGTCTGCCGGACACCCTCCATACTGTGACCTTGTCTGCTTGGACACCCTCCATGCTGACTGTCTGCTTGGACACCCTCCATACTGTGACCGTGTCTGCTTGGACACCCTCCATACTGTGACCTTGTCTGCTTGGACACCCTCCATACTGTGACCGTGTCTGCTTGGACACCCTCCATACTGTGACCTTGTCTGCTCGGACACCCTCCATACTGTGACCGTGTCTGCTTGGACACCCTCCATACTGTGACCTTGTCTGCTCGGACACCCTCCATACTGTGACCTTGTCTGCTCGGACACCCTCCATACTGTTACCTTGTCTGCTTGGACACTCTCCATACTGTGACAGATGTTGACGTCATTGCGAGTCTTTAAGTAGCTCGCTATAGGAGCACTGATTGGTGGATGGACTCATGGTTCGGAACACCGATTGGTAGATCTACTCATGGTTCGGGACACTGATTGGCGGATAGACTCATGGCTTAGATCATACCTGTTATAGTTGAATATCCAGACCAGCTGAAGATTATCCCCTAAGCTTATTAATCACCTGATGATTAAACACCCTAACTCTACCTGGGGTTTAGGTTTCCTTAGATTAGGTTAGGTTAGGTTATATTAGGTTACGCTATATTAGGTTAGGTGAGATTAGGGTAATTAGTTATCATGTGAAATAAGCGGGGGTGACTAATCTTCAGGTGAAATAAGCTGGGGTGACTAATCTTCAGGTGAAATAAGCTGGGTGACTAAGCTTCAGGTTGAAATAAGCTGGGGTGGCTAATCTTCAGGTGATCCTAATAACCGCTAAAGGTATGAGAGTTTGAAAGTATTAACAAAAAACAGTTTCACTGAAGAATGGCATTTCCAGGGTGTGCCGAGCATGATTCTTCAGGACCTCTTCTGTACCTTCTGTGTGTGTGTGTGTGTGTGTGTATGTGTGTGTGTGTGTGTGTGTGTGTGTGTATGTGTGTGTGTGTGTGTGTGTGTGTGTGTGTGTGTGTGTGTCTGTGTGTGTGTGTGTGTGTGTGTGTGTGTGTGTGTGTGTGTGTGTGTGTGTGTGTGTGTGTGTGTGTGTGTGTGTGTGTGTGTGTGTGTGTGTGTGTGTGTGTGTGTGTGTGTGTGTGTGTGTGTGTGTGTGTGTGTGATGCTGTAACACTCTCGGTAACTCATTATAAAGGGGTTCAGCTCCTAATAGAACCTTCAACCTGATCTAGCATATAATGATTGCAGAGCCAGTACAAGTTATTTAGTTCACTTCTCATGGGTCCACTTCTATTGAATCGCATTATAATGGCTCTTAGTTTTAATTTGGTTAGGTTAGGTTAGGTTAGGTTAGGACGTCATCTCACTTTTATCCAGAACTCTACGGTTTTAATCATGATGTGAAATAACAAGAGGTTCCTAATCTTCCTCAACTCTACGCCGCGAGTCCTTGGGTATCCTTGGGCTCTCGTCGGCAGCCTACCGTAGCAGGGGCGGACTGGCGGTGTTAAGGTGTAATGAATAAATGAATACCTCTATATTTGTGGTGAGATGCTCGAGTGATTAGTATACATGAATCTACAGTAAGTCCTCCCAGTGTAGTCAATGTGGAACTGTTTTTATGTAGATTATGTAGATTGGTAGTGGTAGTCCTGTATACTCAAAATAGGGTCTCTAGGTATAATTACTACATAAGTCTTGGAAGTATAATTAGATATTGTAGTTGGTATTATAAGTTGTATTACTGTGGATGTTTTTGTTTTTATTATTATTGCTTCAGATGTTTGTGATTTGATTGCTAATTGTGGTTACTCCCGATAAGGTCCATATATAATTATTGATTTATTATACTGAATAAAACCATAATGCTGAATTAAGTGTCAAGGAAGTTGTAATGGGCTGTTAGAATCACGTGAATGTTAGACACCCCAGCTTATTTCACCTTGAGTAACCTAATCTAACCTAACAAAACCTAACCTAACCTAACCTACCTGGCAGATATCAGCTACTGCACCAAACACAAAGCGGAAATGGTGGAGAAAAGACACTGAGACTATACCATAACTAGATAGGTTTTCCTCGATCAGTTATGGAATGATTTAGTGCAGGAAAAGTTCAGCCTCCGGGCCAAGATACTTTTAAAATATACAATGTAAAGTTTATGAGAGGACAGAGACACGGGGTAGTTGGGTGAGTCAGGGCCCCCATACTTGAGAGGGGGAGTTGTTGGGTGAGTCAGGGCCCCCATACTTGAGAGGGGGAGTTGTTGGGTGAGTCAGGGCCCCCATACTTGAGAGGGGGAGTTGTTGGGTGAGTCAGGGCCCCTTGAGAGTTGTTGGGTGAGTCAGGGCCCCCCATGCTTGAGAGGGAGTTGTTGGGTGAGTCAGGGCCCCATGCTTGAGAGGGGTTGTTGGGTGAGTCAGGGCCCCATGCTTGAGAGAGGAGTTGTTGGGTGAGTCAGGCTTGAGAGAGGAGTTGTTGGGTGAGTCAGGGCCCCCATACTTGAGAGGGGAGTTGTTGGGTGAGTCAGAGACCCCCATACTTGAGAGGGTTGTTGGATGAGTCAGGGCCCCCATACTTGAGAGGAGTTGTTGGAGTGAGTCAGGGCCCCCATGCTTGAGAGGGAGTTGTTGGGTGAGTCAGGGCCCCATTCTTGAGAGGAGTTGTTGGGTGAGTCAGGGCCCCCATAC